TTCTAATATCTTTGAGAATTTAGAAACATTTCTCTTCTATTCTATGATTTTTCTTCAATGCATAACAGGAAAGCAAATAAGAGAAAAATCTTTTTTAGTTTAGAACAAACAATTTATTTCGAATAAAGGAAAACATATAGAGTAGAGAATAGAGGAAATCGATTATATAGTAAATTATTAAAGATACATATTTATCTATGTATTTCTTATATCAAGACCCTCTGATTCCTGCAATATCAAATAGAAAATGCTTTGTTTAATTTTGATATACTCCTGTGATATAACAACACTTTGCACTTCTTATCTTTTTCAGCTGCAACAATTTTCTACAATGGATAACTAAACTTTATCTAACTATTTTGAAATTACTTGGTTACAATGTTGCACCAATTTTGCATATGTTGTAACAATTTAATTAAAAGATTTATATATTGTAATATAGGATTTAATGCATTGATAATTAGGCCATCAGATTGTAAAATATGCACTGTAATAATGTTATTAAGATTAAGACTATTTCTTATTGTAACCATATTGAATTTTAAAATAAGAAGCAAATAAGCTATGTCTTCTTTGTATTTTTCTTATGTATCAATATTAAATTAATATAATACAAGTTAATTGATGTTATTATCACTCACATTCAATAGATCTATAAAGTATACTAACAATTTTCCTTTCTTGTTATCTTGCATCAACAAATATAAAAGATACATATAATAGACTAAGATAATAAAAAATTTTAATTGTAAATAAAGATCTGTTGTGGGAGAAATTGTTTTTTAAGGACAAAAAAAGCTTCGTATTCTAAAAAAAGAAAATAGATAAAATAGATGCTTTCCTATGTGTCTATTTAGAGCCCTTTTCTTACTTGTACACTATAGTTGAAAATGTATTGAAGGCTATCTATCAAACTAATAATAGCTCGGGTACCTCGGATTTGCTAAGCCCGTACTCACGATGTGAGCCCCTGAGGGGAACTTTCAGATTTTAATTTCAGAAACGTCAAAAAGTCGACCACGCATCTTCTACGAATTTAAATGGCCCTCGCTGACAGTCGAACACTCGAAAAAAATTTCACTAGATAAAAATTTTTCCCAGTAGATAATTACAGGGTTGCATTCAAAAATTCTCTTGTCGGAGTAGAATAGCATTTAATTGGCCAATTGAGACGAAGAAATTTTTGATCTTTTCATTTTGATTGGTCAATCAAAAACTATCTTATCCACAGGTAGATTTTCGAACGCATCTTTTCCAATCAGTTGCGACATATGTACATATACAAACATACATATAATACATAAGGGTATATATATATATATATATATATATCTGAGCTTGCGCGAAGCGATGACTGACAGACTGACACGTAACGTCATTGGTGGATGTTGCGATCAGCGACAATAACTGGCGATAACCTGTTTCTCGTTTCTCGTGGTCGTGTCAGGAAAGAGAGGCGAACGTGTAAGTTCGCGTTACAAGAACGTAACGCGACATGTAATCGGATCTTAGAGCCGCTGTTCGCCTGATATATCATCCGATATATCTTATCCTTGATGTATCCGTGCGCGTGGCGACGCGACTTCGCGATAAATCTGTGTGATGATCTCGGTGACGGTGACGGCGAGCGAATCGGGGAAATCGAAGCCGCGCTTCCGGGACGTCAATAAGATCCTGATTTATTGACGAAGGCGTAAAGCGTGCGAAAAAGATGACGGAGAGTTTGATAAACGAGTGGTTGGCGGATTGCAAGGACGTCTCGCCGTCCGAGCTTCACACGTTTGCCAACACGCTTTCGCAGGATAACGAGATCGTACGAGCGCTCTATGTACTTTTCGAAGAGCGCACTAAATACAGCGAGGTATATAAATTAATGTTTTTTTTTTTTAATTGGATTGTTTACAGCAAAATTACGACGAATTATATATGTAGTTAATATACTCTGAAAATGTGATTATATTTGATATCAAGTGCAGTTTCTTATCATCAATAGAGATATTAATCATATGTGCATTATATTTATATACAGAAACTGTCATAGTTGTTAATATATGTAAGGAGAGAACATATATATAAATAATATTTATAAAATAATTTATAATTAATTATTAATTCTAAATATAATGAAGATTTGTAAAATATATTAGCAATTTTACAAGCGCTTGTTAAAAGGATAAATATTATTATTATTATAATAAAAGATTTATTTTTAAGACTGATTAATTATATTTCTCTAATTTTGAATTATTGTTACAGTTGATGGACACAGTATGTAATCAGTTATATAATTTTTATCGATCTCGAGAAATAGAATTACAAAGGTTCACACTGCAATTTCTACCAACGCTGATATATATTTACTTAAATTCCACGGCACATGGTGATATTAAGGTAAAATTATACTATATATTATTAATATTAGGAGTATATGACATACTATATATAATAACATCCTATTAATTTACCACAGATTTTTATATGTAAAGTCAGGGCAGTCATTTACAATTAGGCAGAATATATATAAAAATTATATTGAATCGATATTCGATCGATTCATGTCATTCAAACGTCATTCATTCATTCAAACGTCATTTATCCATTTTAAGTCGAACATAGCCAAATGATTAATATATATATATATATATATATATATATATATATAATGAATGATATTTGACACAGCTGTATTAACAGTCTAGTATATATATATAGAAGTCTGTGCAATTTATTTATCAACTGTGTCATTTGTCTATTGTGTTTTATCATTATTGCATATAATTGGTATTTATATAGAGTTATATAATGGAAGACATTTGTAATTTACATGACAAATAAATCTGCTTGTATTATATTTAACTATCTTATATAGTAGCATGATAAAATTGCAAAGTCATTTGTATAGCTGTCAGATTGATTTTAACTCTATTATAATTCTTGTGAAAAACAGGTTTCTTAAGAGTATTTTCTAAATTCTATATATATTCTGGTTTCAAACACATAATACAATTGTTAATAACATTTAATTTCCAGAGCTGTCGTTCCCTTGAGACTCTATTAATTGGATTATATAATTTAGAAGTGGTCGATAAATCAGGACAACAAAAAGCAATCTCGTTTAGATTACCATCGCTTGCCATGTTATCCATATACCATGAGGTATGTTGACACATTTATACTAGATATATAAAAATGATCAAGAAATTAATAATAGAAATATATATCTATAAATCACAAATATAAATCATTTTTTTTCTTAACATGGATTAGAATTCAGGTCAATTATAGAATTTTATAATTTGGTAAATCATGCATTTTCTCCTTCTTAATAAATTAATTTTAAAAAGTGCGAATCAGTATCAGAAATATAATTTCTGATTTAAAAATTAAACTATATTTAATAATAAAAAATATTTAGTACATGTAGAATAATCGTATTAAAGAAATTTTTGTACTAACAAAAAATAAGAGAAACTTAATTTCTAATTTAAGATTATTCTACTGCAAATTACTAGATTTTCTTAGATAATCATCTATAGCATAATATGTTCTTTGAAACAGCCTGCAAGTTTAGCACCAGCCTCACTAACAGAAAGCGCAGTGCGTCGTTTTGAAGAGTGTAATTCAAAACTTGTGAGTTGGGGTCCATTGCAACAAGTAGAAACATTGAATGCACAAAACAGATTAAAAGTCATGACAGCTCTGCTTTTTGTCTATAATCAACAACTTGGTTATATCAATAAGTTTGCTTTAGAACAATTGTGCAAGGTTGCAACAAAGTAAGTGCAATTTTTAGTCATAAATATTAAATTTGTTATATTTTTATCTTTTAATCACAATTTTTTATTTTATTTCTGGCACAGACTTGTCACTCAAGGCTTTATGAAACCAGGACATCATCAACGCTCTTCATACGGCAGTGAGTCTAGCTTTGTTCCAAGGCTTTTACCACGTATACCAGTATCCAGCCAATTTCTCTTGGAATTCTTGCATGCTGTATATTTTGCCATGTATGTAATGCGTTTTGCATTATTGCGGATTCAACAGAATTTTCCATAATCTATTTTCCACACACTTTTCTTATTACATGTTTTATTACATATTAACAAATATAAACTTAGCATAGCGTTTAAACTAATTTGTGCTAATACTGCATCTTCATACATAGAATTACATTTCTTTAGTAAATATCTCGGTTTGTAGGTATAACGAATGCTGGTATATAGGAAATCAAGCTATAGAAGATATTCATAATAGAGCGTGTTATGAAGCATATCCAAATGTAATGTTGGTTACCAATGCTGTACGAAATTCTGCCAGTTCTGGAGCATCAGGTAATTATTTTCATATGATTAAGCTTAAATTTGATGTTAATTTAAATATAAGATTCATATTCTAAGAATAAATATTTTATAATCTCTTTTATTGTGTCTTATTGTTAGGTCAACCGAGCGATGGACCAATTGGAATTAGCGTTGCATTATCTCCGGCAACTGCCACACCAACCGTTTCAAAGTCTATGATCACAAATGCTTCCTTTCGTACTAAGAAATTACCAGGTATGGGTATATTCTTATATTGCGTCTATATGTACTATAAACTATTAATCTTTTTACGACGACATGTGATAAAAAGTAAATCTCGCAAGAGTAAAAATAATGAAGAATAAAAAAAATGTAATATCTCTTTGAGAAAATACATAATTGATATTATATATATATATATATTTAAAAGTGAATTATATCTAAATTTTTATTATACAGGATAATATAATTATGTTCATTTTCATGTTAATTTTTTCATTTGGCGAAAAGATCTTGAGAAAAAGTCTTTCATGTTAAAAAAAATTCATTCCCATATAATTTCTTTGAAATCATACACAAATTTAACTTTCATAGCCAAACGTCATTATTGTGTTTTACGTGAATTTATACATGGGCGAATATGTTTGGTGAATTAAGATGCTAAATACTAATAGTATTAACATCAGAGCTATGTTTTCTATTAAAATAGCTAACTTGTATAGATAAAATTTTAACTGTGTGTCCGAATATTAACTACTTTACACAACAGACATAACTAATACACAGAAACAGATATGCATGGACATGAATGTATCGAGTATTCTTAGGTCCAAGTTTGCATGTGACATCCCTCTCTAAGTTTTATGAAATTATTGCTGAATTAAAATGTCTTTTTTGTCCCAAGAATGAATTAGTTGCCCAAACAAGTAGATATTGATATGATAACTATACACACATATTTTTGGGTAAATGTGCAATGTACTATTTACATATCCCCCTCTTTCCTCGCTCACCCTTATCTGTATTCCGTGATTTGCTTGTGATAACTCGCAAAATCATGAAATACAAATAATAAAATAAAAATTGACTAAGCACGAATTCACATGATAAAGTTTTAAAATATATACAATAAGTTAAAAAGAGAGAATCCAAAAAATGTGGATTGCGCGTCTATGTCATTAGACGATCTGGATGAGAAGTTATTTGCGGTCGAATTGAGCAATTGTCAAGTCGAGAAGCAACAACAACCGGCAGTATCTAGCAGCAACAAACGACGTCCATGGCATTGGAAGCACACACTTCCAAGTACGGTCGATAAGAAGGATATGGGCACGGGAAAGGCGCAATCTTCCTCCTCGGAGGGTTCTAGACGTGGAAGTGTATGCAGCAGCAATCAAAGTTCGCCGATAAAGTCCTCTCCTAAAAAGAGCAAAGATCAACAATTAAAGAAAACGACTCTTGACGATGCCAGTCAGAAAAATAAAAAAGATAGTAACGTAAAGTGCGATACCACTTTTTCCGACGATAGATTGGCAGCTAATGCGCATCTGTATAGCGTGTTAGAGGAGCAGGCTCTGGGCGAGATTATTCGTGAATCGGTGGAAAATGTATATACAGAAGGCAACAACAGTAGATCGATCAAATTTTGCGCCACTGCCGCACTATCATCAAACATATGGTATTATCACTTCAGTTACAACACTGTAGGATGGCGTAAATCTCATCACGCTATGATCCTTCGTCAGACTTATGGTTCATTATGTTTTCATTCAGTATACACACTAGCAGCACATGCAAAACAAATCGTTGAGTTGTAATAATCCATGTGAACGTGGATGTATTCCTTTCAGAAGTATCACTCCCAGCTATAATGAGACATACGCATAAAACAAAATCTAAACAGAAACCAGCGCATGACTGGAAATATGCATGTCGTCACGGCACATTTATCTTCCCGCACCGAGAAATTCAAGTATATTGCTTAACTAAAAAATGTACTTGATGTATTTTTTTTCTCTATTAATTGTATCTCTTATCTGTTTCTCACACTTATTCTCGTTTCAATATTACTTGCGCAATTAGTTTTCTTTTTTGTTTTCTGCATTGTATATTTTTCTCTCTACATAAATGTAAATCTTATATTTTTAATATTTTCCACTTCCTATAAATGTTCTTTTCCACTCGAGTTTACGATATATCTATGTATTATAAACATATAACTAAAAAAAATAAAAGAGATATTGGTTGATACATACATATTGCAATGCATTTTTGTTGAAAACAAATACATGTTCCTTTATCGCGTAATGTAATTTATATGCTATTTAAACATATAATTTTATTAATAAAATAAATCATACATAAATTTATGTCACACATAAGATATCTAATATATGCAATTTATAAATCATTATGTAGATACATACATATTGCAATGCATTTTTGTTGAAAACAAATACATGTTCCTTTATCGCGTAATGTAATTTATATGCTATTTAAACATATAATTTTATTAATAAAATAAAAATCATACATAAATTTATGTCACACATAAGATATCTAATATATGCAATTTATAAATCATTATGTAGAATGTATATATATATGTATGTTTTGATGCCTCTATCTAAGAGACGCTTGTTAATTTTCAATATTGCTTTTATTATTGTCAACTCCAATTTGACGGTAAAACTTTGTTTACTTATAGATACGGAGAGAGAGAAACCAATATTGTATAAAAATTTTCTTTTGTCCTCAGATGACATACCAATACAAGTTGTAAAAGATGAAACTATTGGAGAAGGTAAAAGTAACCTGGTATCAATCACAGAGGAACAAGAATCAACAATAGAGCCGAGCCGTATTGGTTCCATGAGACAATCAAAGGATCAAAAGACTGCTTCAAAGATTACAAATTTCCCTGTACTCGGCAAGAAACCTAAAGAGAAAGAGGGGAAGGTAACGAAAAACATTCACGTTGTTTTGTCGGAAAAGGAGAAGAAGCTCGGTTCCCAAACGACATCGAAGGAGAACATTAAAGGAAGTTTATCAATGTTGACTAATGAGCAACAAGCGGAAGTCGACGGAAATATTAACGGATGTGCGATCCGAAAGAAAAATAACAGTATAGAAAACAATACGATCATAATAGATTCAAATCTTGCGTTGATTGAAAATGAGAGACTGGCATCACACTTAAGTAGTGATGTTACCGATGGTAGTATGGAAAATTCTATCAATTTAAGGTCGCATAACGAAACAGAGTCTATAGCTTCTTCTATCCAAGTTAGCTCTGTTTAATGACGATAAAAGTCTATAAGGGATATAAAATGTTATATAAATAGTAATGGGCTGAAAAAACACATTAAGTAAATAAGTCGTTCTCTTCCAACTAGCAAATCTGATAAAATCCATGTATAATGTGTACATGTTGCCTTTTCCTAGAATTATTTAAGATCACACACACTATTTTAATAATAATATATATGTGTACATTACCATTGCATTGCAATATTTCGAATAGGAATCATATATTTTTCTCACGTAGCAATCTCTTAGTCTCAGTCCATTACTCTATTGATCTCCATGATAAATCTAAAAAATGGGAGAGGGAACAATATGAATTAAAGATTTACATGATTGTTTAGTGTTTTGTGCATATTAGTACATATTGACTAATTTTTGTAATTAAAAATTTCTATAATTTATTCGATATATTTTATAAATATACATCAGAATATGTGGTATTGTAATCTCCTTATTCTGATACAGTTATCGAGTTTTACTTCTAGAGATTATAGATCATTATTATAATCCAGAAAACACAAGTATTATCACGATGTAATGTAATATCAATATATATTTATGTTTAACCCAGATGTGCCTTGATGCACCTGTGATGAAACTTTCTTTATCGTCCCAGATATGTAGATAATAAATTTGTGATGAAGGGAAGAGAGGAAGAATGTCTAAATAAAATTGCAATGTTGCTTAATTAGTAAGCGCGATAAATATGTATCTGTACAAATATAGAGTATCAGGCATATCTGGGTTGAATAATGTAAATCTACTATTACTTTTGTCATAATTGTTCCAAAATGATATTAAGAATTCATGACGAATCATTTGTTTTTCAAACAGTTGTAAACATTTATATATACAGATGTATACATGCACATATATATATACAAGATGCTCCAAAACTCTACGCGAAATTAACTAGAGATTGTAGTCTTATTAATTTTGTAACCCTACAAAATTTATTTTGCGAATCCTTCTTTTCAATCATTTAACTCGGAAATCATTGATACCTCGACATTTTGGCCACAAACTCAAAGGTTCATTCGTGGTTTTGAAACATCTTATATATATTATATATATGTAATTGTTGGAAATAATTATGCGAAACTTGAATATAAGAGACTTTATTCTCACGTGAAACTTGATTCACGTTGAAAACGATCAACTAGTCGGGAAAATGCTATTTGTGTATAAAAAATTGGGAATAGAATAGCAGAGAAGTGTTTTTCAACGAATTTAAAATTCGATTTTGTGTCATATTTTATTACATGTCTCACGATTTATATTTAAACTCCAGAATGCGCTCGATCAGGTTGCAATCAAATCGTTATAATCAACTTTCTAAATTTTTCAGCTCAATACATTCAGCGACATAGAAATTATGAAAAAGAATAACGAAAAAGAGCCATGATCTCCGGAGAGATGCAATATATATAGTTTTAGAATTTCCATTTTGCATGTATATCTTCTTGCAATGTACAGATGTACAGATGTACAAATATATATACAAAGTTGATGAACAGACAAAAGATACATCACACACATTGTTCATTAATCAATTTCTTTTCTTATAATTTTGGAAAAGTCGATTCCATGTTTGTCAAAGGATACAATGTTCAATTCCCAATTCTTTATGTTCATTCTGAGTGCACACAAAGTTGTATTAATCTATATTAATGTGTAAATATATATAATTAAAAAAGTATTAACTGTATAGAGAGAATGGAGAGAAGAAAAAGTTTAACTCAAATATAAAGAACCATATGTCGTGAACTGCATTTGTTAAAATAAGTCGGTTAACTATTCCAAACTGTAAAACAATATATTATGAGAATAGGGCACATTGGAATCAATACGATGTTTAATTCACTGATTAATTTAATTTCCTTATGGCCTATATTGTATTAATTAAAGTGTAACATAGATTATAAAAATACATTGAAGTTATCCGAAAAAGGGTTGATGGTAACAATGATAAATAGAAATACTATTACTTTATTTATGTGACTCTACAATCATTTCTTATATTGTATTCGATATAATAGAGAGTTGGGAAATTTTCTTTTAAAATACAATATATTATTGACAAATTTAAATATTTATATTATTTAAATTAAACTTTTTCACACACAGTAGATATAGATTATATATATGTAATAGATATTAATTTGTTCCTTTCTTTTTTTATTTATTCAGGAGATATATAATTCTTTCATTTTATTACATTTTTTAAAATTTTGCTCCCTAATTTTTAGAGCAATATTATTGGATCTTTGTATTTTTGAGAAATCTGCGTTTTAAAAAATTTTAATTTTTTTAAAGATTAGATTCTCTTAGATTTTTTTTATTTGTACGAATAAATTCAAACCATTTTTAGACGATCAATAGTGATTGTCGAGAGATATTCTCAAAGTGCTTTTTAGAATATGAAATAAAATTTGCGATTCAGGTCCGCTATCAATTTTACAGATACGCGGCTGTAAATCCTCGATTTGACCACGAAAGGAAAATAAGTAGCTCTCTCCTTTATACGACAGCTAAGGAAGACAAACGGACGGATTATCGTACTATCTTTCCTCCTGATTCTATTCACATCGGTGCCAGCTTTTGTGTCGGACGATTTATTTATTTCTTACTATCGCATTTTGTATCACGTTTGAGAGATTTATTGAATTTAGGACTGCAAGAGATAATAAAGAAAAATTTAACGCGATAGATATTATTAGAAGACAAGCGTCCAATTCAATCGCCGAAGATATAAAGATCCAAATCTCTGAGAATACTAGCGAATATATGAGATATATAAAAAAATCCTTACATTTAAAACTTCTCAATATCTTATTTGGATTCTAAAGACACCGAGAATTCTCTGAATTCTTTTCGATCCCTTCAAAAATTATTTAACTTTCACGAGAGTTTAACTTCTAACTTTGCATTTTTGTTTTCCGAAAGGGAATTTCTTTTCCAAGTTTTAAATTTGTATTCTGTTTTTGTGACAGCCGTTTCTTTCAATCGCGAAATTTCAATTCGTTTAAAAAAATTGTATCATCCCCTTGTCAATGCCGCACGCGGGCATGTCGACCAGCTACATGACACAATACGCGCGAACTGAGCGTGACGTCTATCAATTATTATCTGGGGATGACAATTAATACGCCAGAAATTTCGGCCGTATCGGGAATAGATTATTAACAGATGATACAGTTATGTGTCGCGACACAAGCATGACGAATCGACAATATTAGTTTCATGCTACAGGAAACGTGCGTCATACGTCGTTCGAGACATTTACAGGTGCAAAATATCCTTTTCAACCGCTTCGTAGAGTGTACACTGCGGCTCTTTCATCCGATAAAATTCTTTGATTTTTGAAATAGATATTTGAAGTAATTACTATAAATAATTAACAGAGAAAGAGGGAGAAGGAGAGGAAAGGGAGAAAGAGAGATCAGTGTATCATAAATGACATTACATAGCATTGTAGAGCAATACCTTATTTAAATAATTACAAAAATTATTTCATATATCTGTTATCATTTTATCATTAATCCAGACAGCACACAATATTTATGATAAATATAAATATTTTTTTACTATTTATTTTTTGGAATATTATATAAATATTTTATACATGTTTTGTATAGATTAAGAGAAGAAATCATAAAAACTTTATTCGATATATTTTTAAAATATAGACTAAATATTTTATATAATATTTATAGT